TTTCTCAAGTTTTAATGATAGTCATCTGCCAGCAGAATGAGTGCCTTTGAGGTCACATACTACACCCTTCATTTCTAACAAAAATCTGTCACTGTAACTTGTACTTTTTCATATCCAGACCGCATTAAAACGTTCTTCATAGCCACAAATTTATTGCCTGCCTTTGTACACTTCATTGAAAAGAGAAATTATATAGTTAGTAACTTACTGGAAATATGGCATATGTAAACTGTTACATTTATTCATAATTTTCCCACCAGTAATGCTGAAAAACAAGAATTACCGCTTCTTCTTTAAGTGGACAACAGCAACAGCTGAGCCATTAAATCTAGGCATGTAAATTATGCTTCAGTATGATATCAATATACATACCTAAGAATGCCATGAAAATGTTTATGCTGAAACGAAGCCAACATTTTGTTCTCCTTTTTTTTTTCTTTTGGGGCAGGGATACAGTTTGTGTGCCTTAGACCATCCCGACACAGCAACAGCCGAATATCATACACAAATTGTTCATAAATGTCCCTATTAACTCTAAAAGTTCGTGTTCTCTACACTGTAGTCTATATGCCAGAAGAAGCACTGACACCAAAAGAAGAGCTTCTCTTTTATTTACTTTCTCCCCCCCANCACTTTTTCTAAGTGGATTATCTAACAACACTTTCCATTAAGACAGAAGACCTCTGAAGATCAGACTCATAATGCAAACTGAACAGTCAAAAAAACCATCATTACAGAATTCTGACACTTCATCAGGCCTAACAATTACAAGCAGTGTCATGGAAAGTGTCAAAGCATTTCTACAGATGAGATTAGAAAGAACTATGTTCTACTAACTAAAGACACAAACAAGCATAGCCAAAAATAGGCTTTCTAAAGCAAACTTCCCCTATACAAAATAGTACTCAAACCCATATGGACCTGTGCAATTCAGCTTTGGGGGCAGCCACCAATTCCAACAGTGAAATCCTCCAGCGCTTTCAATCCAAGACTAACACAAAATGGATACACTTCAGTAATCAAATTTAGACAGATGCAAAGGACATTCAAGGTCATATGCAGGAGGTGCAGACAAATATGGTTCTGAAAATAAATTTTATAACATTGTTGAGCCGCGTTGAAGAATGAACACTTTAGGAAGATAGGTTTTCAACATCACAAAAAACCCATCTATAAGAAAAACAAGAAAATACAATTAATAAAATTTCATTTATTCAAAAAAAGTACTTACATCTATTCAATAACAATTTGATATATTAACGTTATACTGTTCTAACAATCAATTTAGTTTCACATATTAAATAACAATTTGTTGAGAGTAGAGCATTAGGTAAACTATCACCATCTATGTTCTTCATCTCTGCTGTTCCGTTTCCGGTTCAGTTGCATTTCTTGTATCATGTTGAGAAGATCTCATAAACAGATTTGTTTATGATATCCACTAGTTATTTATCAACCCTGCAATAATCCTATCAGGTTATGGCCCCAGGATGATTGATACTGCGTGTTACTCATGGTGTGATGATAAATGAACATTTTTGTGAACAATTGTGAGTGTAGTGTCTGAAACTTTTGCCTTCTGGACCGGTTTTCCCTTTCTGTGCACTGTATGATGGCGACCACGAGGAAAGAATTAAGCGTGCCATCTATTGCAAAACTGAAGGGCACTGAAGATTACAAAAGTTGGGCTTTTGGAATGACGCTGTGGCTGAAAAGAGAAAAATGTTGGGGTTATGTTAATAACACCGTACCAGCTGAAGAATGGGAGGCTGAAGTTGATGAAGAAACTTTATGTGACATCGGACTGATGGTCGACACATCTGTTTATGTTCATTTACATGATGTTAAGCATCAAAAGAGGCCTGGGATATTCTAGCGAAAACGTTTTCAGTAACAAGCAGGACTGGTCACTATAGCTTAATGAGACGCTTGCATGCAGTGAAACTGGAGAACTATAACTCTGTATCCACTTATATCTGTGAAATTATGAGTTTAACGCAACAATTAGCAGATACAAGAAAAGTAGTGGATGATGAGGACACTGGGTTTATAATGCTGAATGGGTTAACGGAAAATTACAAGCCCATGGTTAGGGCATTGGAGGCCAGCAACAAAGAATTGACTTCTCAAACGGTGAAATACTTTTTATATGGTGATGAACAAAGAAATGAGCAGAATGAAAAGTTATCTGCCATGTGGACGAGGAATAATGATCACCGTAGGTCCAACAAGTCTCGTCCTGCTTATCATAAGAAGGAAGAAAATGGACACCAATCCAACAACAAACCAGATCGCGGGTGGCTGAAGTGCAGCAGGTGCAGAAAGTCAGGTCATAAAAGGAAGGACTGTCCTGAGAAAGAAAAGACTGAGAAGAAAGAGGGGAATAATTCTGGAAAGCAGAAGATGACTGCAACATTTACAGCACTTGGTGTGGAAGCCAAATCAACAAAGTGGACCTTGGACTCTGTGTGTAATAATCATATGTCATATCGTAAAGACTGGATGAATGATTACAAAGTTGACAAGTCGTTAGAAGTGTCAGTGGCAAATAATGCAGTTGAGATAGGTAGTGGTATGGGCAATGTTTGTGTAAATTTGCCCGAGGGAGTTAAAATCATACAGGATGTTGCTCATGTACCAAACAGGAAATATGAACTGAGAGGGGGGGTTTTGTCTCAGCAAGTCTTGGAAACCTCTCATCTGTTTTCTTAAAAACCCCCACAGGGATATGACGCCAGATCCAGAAGGCCACACAGGCCATGACCAACAAACATAACAACCCCCCCCCTCAGCTTACGGATTAGTGCCCAACCTTTAACCTTGCCTTTCTCTACCCTACACAAAAACCATGCTTGTCCCAGCTCCCCCCCCTCCCACACTACTGTTTTCACTTGTATACTTTCCCTTCCCCCCTTCCTTCTCTGCTCAAATATAGCTGTGTAGATTTCCAACACAGTCTGCTTTTACCAGTTCTCATGGTCTCTTCGCTTGCAGATTTCTTATATTTTTTCTTCTACCCTGAAGATGGAGGCCATACATTCCTCTGAAACGTCGGTTAACACCACATATACATGGTGCCAAATCCCAGAAAACTGCTTTCTTCATAGTCACCGCCGTGAAAGCCTCAAATCTTACAAAGCATCACGAATGTGGAATAGAAAGATACATGGTGCATTAATGGAGTTAGAGTTTAAGCAATCCAAACATGAACCGTGTGTGTATTATTTTTGGAGAGATAAGACCGTTGTTATTATTGCATTATATGGTGATCATTTCATTTTATCAAATGATGAACAAAAGACTCGAGAAGTGAATAGAGCTTTGATGAGAGAATTTGAAATGGTAGACCTAGGAAAAGCAAGATTATGTTTAGGAATGAATATTTCCTATGACGAGGAGACTGGTTCCATCTTGTTAGACCAAAAACATTACATTAAGCAATTATTGGAGAAGTCTGAGATGTCTGATGTGAGACCTGCAAAAACGCCAATGGAAAAAAACTTAAGACTGGAAGTAGGTGATAAAGGGAATTTACCTGATGTACCTTACCAAAGCTTAATAGGTTGCCTAATGTATATAGCTATAAGCACAAGACCGGATATTTGTTACACGGTAGGCTGTTTAAGCCAGTTTAATAACTGCTACACAATAGAGCACTACAAGTATGCAAAGCGAGTATTGAGGCATCTAAAGGGCACTTGTGACAAGAGTCTAGTTTTTTCACCCAAAGATGACAGTATTGCTGGATTTGTGGATGCAGATTGGGGTGGTTGCTCAATGGATAGACGTTCATACTCTGGATTTATCTTTAAGTTAAGTGGAGGAGCTGTATCTTGGGGTAGCAAGAAGCAAGATTGAGGTGCCCTATCTAGCACTGAATCAGAGTACATTGCGTTATCTGAAGGTGCAAAGGAAGCTATTCATCTTAAGGGCTTGTTGGACGAATTGATGAATATAACTAGTAACAGTGTAATTATGCATGGTGATAATCAAGGTGCTATAAAGTTGGCTCACAACCCCGTGTTTCACACGTGTACAAAGCACACTGAAATAAGATATCACTTTATAAGGAAGGTTGTGGAAGATGGTATTGTAAAAGTTGTGTATTTGTCAACAGATAACATGATAACCGACATTATGACAAAAGCCTTATGTTATCCACTGCAGTCTAAGTTTATGCAAATGATGGGCATGTAGGTCAGACTTATTACAATATATATGATTACCATTGTGTTTTTTGTACTATTTGTATGTCAAAAGTTTAAGAGGGCATGTTGAGAGTAGAGCATTAGGTAAACTATCTCCATCTATGTTCTTCATCTCTGCTGTTCTGTTTCCGGTTCAGTTACATTGCTTGTATCGTGTTGAGAAGGTCTCATAAACAGATTTGTTCATGATATCCACTAGTTATTTATCAACCCTGCAATAATCCTATCACAATTAGATATATTAACGTTATACAGCGTGTTCAGTTAAGGACGTAACTTCGCAAAACCTCTGATCCGGCCCAACATGACTCACAGATTGCTACTGTAACTGCTTATAGCAGAATGAGTCATTAGCACTGATAAATGTGCACCCTTCATTCATTCATTCATTCATTCATTCATTATTAGAGGGAGTGGGTTTCCCCATGCACCGCGACCAGTTGTTGATCTATTGTGCGTCCCCCTTTAATTTCTACTGTCACCATACCCTTCCGGTACTGGTGCTCACTATCACCCCATTCTACCAGTGAGGTCGGCCCTCTTCTGGCAGTGGTATCTGATAATTAGTCCCATTCTACTAGCGAGGTTGGCCCTCTTCTGGCAGCGGTACCCGATACTTTCCCCATCTACCAGAGGCATTGGAAACTACTTGGGCGGGAAACTTTTTGGCCTAATTTTGCTCAGAGGTCTCCTAGAGACATGAGGATCTTTTACGTGCCGTAAATCTACAACACGGGACCCACGGCTTAAAGTCCCTCCCGGAGGGCTTGTTCCCTGAATTTTTCCACCCTCAAAAATTCCACGACCTCCGCCGGGTTTGAACCCGCGTACCTTGAGTCATGAGGTGGGAATGTTACCCCTAGAATACGGAGGCTGCTAATGTGCACCCTTACAGTTACAGCAGCAATCTGTGAGGAATATTGGGCCTGATCAATGGTGTTGTGAAGTATCCTCCTTGACTGAACACCCTGTATAATCTCTAACAATAACGTTCATTTTTATATTACGTGAGATAAAAAGATATGGTGTATGAATCCAATTTAGGAGGATTTGGCCAGGTTACTGTCCCCTTCAAAGTTCTATCATCCAAAGTTCCCTTGATGCGCAGGAAGGTCTGCCTAAGCCACACCCTTTAGAGTCGAAAATCGGCCAATGTATGAAGCTTCACGTCACATTTATCTGTGGTTGTAACCGTTAACTGAAAAAATGAATACAATGCCATTAACATTTATAGAATATTATAGTACGTCACAGGGATGGAAAAGTCCACAGGTTTCTTTGTGCATTAATTAAATTCAAGAGAAAAGGGAAGATATTACAGATGAAAAAGATACATATATGTAAATTACACCTCAGGACTGACATCAAACACAGAAAATGTGAGGACTGACAACTCATGGTTTGGAAGGGAGCAAAACTGAACATAAATACAGGATCTGTAAAATTTATTTTGACCAAAGTTCAGAATGAACATGCAAACCAGCAAAACAAACTGCCCAAATGATCCCAAAAATCTCAGGAGACAGCAAAATATAAGAAAAGAAACTTGTTCTGTTTTCAAGCAAGATGGTTGTACACAAGGATGGAAAAGTCCACAGGTTTCTTTGTGCATTAAGTAACTTCAAGTGGCAGCGACAATGGTTAAGTGTCGGGTGTTTTAGTATGATCCAGAAACAGAAGACCAGTAAGACACAGGAGAGAACTGTATGCACACCAGGCATGCCCAAGTAATCAGTGAAAATCAATGATTACATACCACTTTGGCTGCAATTCTCCAGGTATAACTCAATTTATCAAGTAATTTGCATAGTTTTTCAATTGTTTCCTTATAGTCTGTACATATACAAAAGCATGTCATGCGTTGCACCAAGATTTGGAAAGTATTCTGTGAAAAAAACACAATGACTTCAACTCATTTTTAAAAAAAAAACATTATTAGATTCAGAGCTCTTAGCACTACATACCTGACTGGAAGTCCGTGTACATGGCTGAGCAGCGTGGAGCTGTGAATTCAGCACCATATCATCAAGGTGCGCTGGCTGTGAAAATGACAATGTCCCCTCTTCTTCCTGCATAGCAGCAGCAACACTCTCGACTTATACACTGTGCTGCTCTAACCTTGGATGTGGCTGAGATCTACTCAGTCTGGCCACTGAGTCATCCAAAGCTCAGCCATCATGTGCTGCACCAGGGGGAGAGAATGTAGATACTTCACTCATGCAGCAAATCACTTGTTACACTGCTCATCTCTTGGTGAATCAATGCCCACCTTTGGTGATCGTGAAACACAATTCTCTCAATGAAGTATGTTCAATATTAAAATTTTGCAGTCACTTATGATACAGAGTAACTGGAGAGAGAGAGTTATGTGAGACAACAAAAGTTGTAAAATCTTAACACACTGATTGTTAATCGGTGGCCTGTACTCTGCAAGTAAACTATACCGACTGAGAGACTGCTGCTTGTCAGCGAAGTTAGTGCCAACTTTTGCAGATAATGGGTGTCAGCGCAACGAATCCCAAAGGCCATTAATCTCGTTTTTCTAGACTGGAGGTGCTATTCGCTTAATAGAGATCCTCAATTATCCTCAAGAGGCTGAGTGGACCACATCCCAGACCCACTACTTCTCAGAGAATCTGGCAGTGCCGCGAATCGAACCAGGGACCTCAAGATCTGTAGCCAGGAACTCTGACCACTAGACCATAGAGGCGTTCCCAATGCTGTTACAAAGTGAACTTAAGCAGGATGTAGGACACTGCAACTACAAAGAAATACAACATTACTGAGACTTTTATGGTTTGTTTGTGGAGCAGTGGATTTGAATATTAAGCTGAGGAAAATATTAATGTGAGGAAATTTATCAAGATTACAGACTTCCTACAGGCAGCAGCGTAGCTGGTTGAGGCACTATGCTACACACCGGAAGGTCAGGGGTTTGAGTACCAATGAGTGGGAGNGATTGCAAATGTTCGTCTGTTAATGCTAACCTGTATTGAGATTTTACATATTTCATCTTTGAAAATGTCTTTTCACACAGGTAGGTACTACCAAATACAGATATCAAACCTCGAGCATATGATCTTAATTCACCATATTCATCACTTGGAAGACACTTATAGAATTCTGTTAGATTGTTCTCTTGGAATTTGCCTTTTAGCATGTTATCACACTGCAGATTAATCACTTCCAATTGAAGGTTAGGTGGAAGTTCCTCAATTGTACAGTTAAATTGATTTTCAAATCTGGAAATGTCTTCTGCACTTGCATCAAGATCTGGAAAACATTGCTGGAACTGTTTTTTGAGCTAAGAAAATATATCACCTGCAAATTCGTGCGGGAATGGGGAATCCAC